TCTTTCAACTGGTTGGAAAGGCAAATTCCAATCTTGCAGATGTTATTCTTAAGTTAGGACTTTTTGAGAGGTAATATCAATTGTTCGGTACTTATATGAATTTGGCCAATATGTCATTTGAGTTTTGTATGTTCATTCACTTGTTATTTAGTGTTGGGCATGTTTTCCCCCTTTCTCTCATATCATACGAAATTTAGTTCCCCATATCATGGGAAAATTGAGAAAAGAAAAGATTCTTCGGGGAAAACCGGAACAAGAACAGATATTTTCATCCATTTCTTCTTTTGTATGTCGACTGCTGATTACTATATAAAATATATGAGTGGGTGCAGCCATATAGAATAAATGTCTCAGTTTTGCAATTTTCTTCATGTGGGATGTTATTTACTGAACAAATACAAACCTCAAATGAGTTTATAAATAGTTAAACACCTTTGTTGAATATGCATAATTTATAGAAACTGGATTTGTTTTATTTTCCACTTCTTTCAGGGTGCAATGCATCAGTTAATAGCTTTCGTCACGTATAATTTCTCCATATTTGCTAATTTTCGACTGGCGTTGTCATATGTATCTGATCAACAGATCAGATATTGCATGGAAGGACGCCAAATATGCTCAGATTTGGGAATATCTAAGAGACGAGTTCGAACTAACCCAGAGATTCGCAAGCCTTGATTTCAAGTTGAAGTTTGTGGAGGTACATTTTCATTTCCTTTTTCTTTTCCCTTTCTTTCTTGGTGGCTTTTCATTTTCAACACGTAGTGACTGCATTTTTCGTTCTTATGATCGTCTTTTTTTTTTTTTGGCAGCACAATATCCGTTTTCTTCAAGAGATCCTCCAAAACAGGAAATCAGATTTTCTGGAATGGCTCATCATCATTCTCATAGGGGCTGAAATCCTTATATCCGTTTATGACATTGCTCATAGGTCAGCAATTACATCTCTGTAGAAAACCGGTCTTCGAAGATTTTTCAACTATACAATACAAGTTTTTAGAAGCAGCTTCGGAAGTCGGTCCCCACTATGTGCCCATTACCCGATTGATAAATATGTAGTATTCTTTGTTCGTCTTTGACCGGAATCGTGTTTATATCCAGTGGATGAGTAATTTGGAAAAATTTTTAGTTTGTTGGCAAATTTATATGACTGATGCCTCTCATTTGAAGTATTTGTTATGGGTTTTGCTTAGAATTATCAAATATTCATTGTGTGTTCGCGCGCGCGCGGGTGTGTGTGTGTGTGTGTGTGTGTGTGTTTAAAGGGTGACTGATATCATTTGGGTACATAGTGTGTTACAAGTACTACTTGAGCTCCTAAGTTGAGCATTGTTAGCAAAAAGCATTTTGAAACAAATTAGTTAAACATAAACTTAGTTGTTGAAATTTAAGAGAGCTAGAGGAAGATGTATTAAGATTTAAAGAATAATTTGAATGAAGATTTTGAAATAGAAATACTTTTGTTATTGTTGAACAATAAAATTGATTTTAAAAATAATATACCATGTGGAACAAAACGATATTGTTGTACGAATATTATATTAATGTTTACAAATTCTTGTGTAATGCAACTTATAATTAGGCGAGTCTATCTGTCATGCTCTGTTTACAAATTCTTGTGTGATGCAACTTATTATTAGGCGAGTCGATCTGTCATGCTATGTGAATACAAACGAGTATTTATTCTATTGAATTTCATAGTTCTCTTTATGATGTTTTTTAAAGTATGCAATTTCTTTTAATAATCACAATATCAATATTAATAATATAAATGTTCAATAAATTTTAGTTATTTGGATTGTACACTTTATTATATACATATAAATAAATCGTCTATTTGAACTTTAAATTTTTTATTTTTTCCATATATGGTTATGCAATATATGCAAGTTAACTAGAAGTAAAAAATATTTTAAAGATTTCATTTCAATCATGGTAACATATTTTTTAAAATAGCCACAATTTTCGATTCACTAATCCACTACCACTACTCATGTAAACATCTTTTTGTTTATAATATACGATTTTCTTTTTATCATTTGAATCATTTTCTTATCATTTTTTTATGAAACATATTTTTCATTTAAAAACTGTGATTTACATGTCCTCCGATTCATTTAGTTATTTGTTATCTACAAATGATAAAATATAGTTATTTTTTTTAAACATAATTATTTTCATAAATATGTTTTACAAAAGATACAACCAAAATTCCAAATCTCTATATTGACGGACGTTTCCGGTCAACTGTTAATTAAGTTTCGGACGAGATTATTCAAAAGAAAATAGGATAGAAGGAAAATGGATTTCTATTTATGTTGTCCAGCTCGTCATTCTACACTTGTAGTCGGCACTTTGCTTTGTTTCGGAAAACTATTACAAGCTCTTTTAGAGAGAGAAAATATGCTATTGCTATAGAATTAAGTCGGTTCAA